TTTGAATGCCGTCACCGGCGGTGGTGGAGATTTTTGATATAATGTAACGGCGCAGGCAAGACTACTCGGATCAGTATCGGCGGTAGTGTCACTCAGAGGCATATGGGAGTGCGTGGGACATCAAACGAGCCTTAATTCGAATAGACACCTATAGGCCTTGTACGAAAGGATATCAAAAATCTATCGAGCTACGGTATGGAGAAGGTGGGGTTTTATATCAGCAGATCTGCCCTCGGCTAGTGCGTGCCCATGTTCGGATCCCTTTCGGATGTTAGTTCAGTGTGTACTCGAACCGTTACAATTCCAGTGTGTGGCGTGAAACAAGTGATAGGTTGAATTCATCTCAGATTGCTGTTACACGGGGTAAGGGTCTATACTTCTCTATCCTGGTCCGCACTAAGGCAGGTGAGTATTACGTTAGTGTTCCGTGAGGCTTGTCTGGCGATGCAGTGGAGTTGGCGTGCTTAAGGAGGGTTTGACAAGACTAATCTATTTGATAGACTAACTTGTGACAATCTTGTTAAGTAAAGATACTAGTAAGAAAGTACAATTTGAGTTGACCACAACGAGAGTAAATAATGAAATCCATCCATCCTTATATCCTCATTGCTTCTTGTCCTGTCCTCCCGACATCCCATCTTGGCGGGAGGTTTGGGAGGACGTTGGCTTCCCTTTATGCGGTGGCCTCCCGGAGGCCATGCCTTGGCGGGATGCCAAGTCACGTGATCGACGCCCCGCGTTGATCATTACCTTCTGACGTGGACGTCCTTAGGCCTTCAGCCATCTCGTCATTTGTCAAGGAGAGAGTCTTTCTTGTTACTTGTAACAATTGCCGCATCGATCAGTCTAAAGTCTAACTGCATCTTCAACAGTTCACTGATTCACTGCTACTACTTCAAAAAATCATATTTATACGCACAGCATCACGTACGATGAGAGTATTGTTCACACATTTATTGGATAAAAATTCACATAAGCCGATCACGCAGTCTTGAAATCAAGTGTGGCTGCCCTGGGTCAGATGCGGAATGGTGTGGCGCATGCGCGGGCCGGCTACATGACGCGCGGAGCCTCATCCATGTTCCTCAACGCGAACGTCAGGCGCATTACAAGTGCGACCACCACACGGTGTCCAGGTTGATTAAGAGTAAGCAAAGGGTATGCTCATGGATGCAGAATGAACGACGAGGATGACTATGAGAATGGCGCCAGCAAGTACACCACCAAGCACTGGGCAGAGCTGTTTAGCTGACCGCGCGCGCAGGCTCCGCCGAGGACGAGGATGAGCAGGACGACGGCGATGTCATGGATGTAGATGAGGAAGATGATGCAGATGATGCAGACGACGGCGATGGCGACGGCGACGATGACGACGCCGAAGGAGATAATGACAATGACGACGAAGACCAAGACCAGGACCAGGATCAAGATCAAGATCAAGACGAGCCAGACAGTCCTTCGCAACATCCGCGCGGCAGCATTCAAAATGGCGGAACACCTGGCAGAGGAGACGGCAATCCAGCAGTGACATTCACATCGCCGAGTCCACATGCCGCAGCAGCAACAGGTGTTCTGGGCAATCTGCCCTTCCGCCCCAGCGTGCGACAGGAAGCCTTGAACACACCCATGTACGACATCATCCCTACTATTGCCGCGCCACACAGTACCTCGATCAACGCTATTACTGCAACACCCGACATGCGATGGGTCTTCACCGGAGGGTCAGACGGTTATATCAGGAAATTCAACTGGGTAGACACCGCCAACGGGAAGCTTGCTCTCACCGTAGCGCAGCGGCATCCATTTGTGGACTCTGTCACCAAAGCAGGTGTCCTGCTATCTTACTGGGAAAACGAAGACAGTGCAGCCGGCGCGGAGAGTCTGTCGCCAGTCTACTCGCTCGCAGTCCACCACCAGGCTCTCTGGCTGCTCTCAGGTCTGGACTCGGGGGGTATCAACCTACAATCGGTGCGACATCAAGAAGGAACCCGCATTCATACACTGAAGAACCATACATCGGCAGTGTCGGTCTTGACATTATCGCAGGATGAGACGTCTGTGCTTAGTGGCAGCTGGGACAAGACCATTAATGACTGGGATTTAAATACTGGTCAGGTCAAGAGGAGATTCGAAACGAGTGGCGGTCAAATATCCGCCATTGAGCAGCGGCCAATGTCTACACTGCCCATACCCCAAGACACTGAAACCCTTCCTCTAGCCAATGGTACCTTTTCCTCAAATAATGCCGCCCGCCCCAGAGCAAACGGAAGCATCCCCAATGGCATCGACACGAAGCCCATAATACCCAAAGAGGAAGGTACCGAGGATGCTCAGGGCTCCCCAGATGACTCGCTGTTCGGAGACAAGGATCAGGACTCTCTATTCGGCGACGGTGGCCAAGAGAACAACCTATCAGCAACTCTGCCTTCATTCGGGGACGATGACGACGAGTTTTCAAGAGCAATAGCAAACGGCATACAGCAGGCAGATGAAGATGCTAATGCCGATTTAGACTTGGTGGACATGGGCGGCCCTGTCCAAGAACCCCAGGAGCCTACAGGTGAAGATGTGAAAGAGCCTACCACAGTGACTGAGGCAATGCCAGACGCAAATGGCACAGCCGATTCACAGTCAAATGGTGCAGCCAACGGACTACCTCACGCAGAGGACATTGAGCAACCCATTAACACATCAGCAAACCAGACTGTGCAGCCGGCATCATCCGAGACAACCTTTGTAGATGCATCCATGGACGGCACACTGCGCATCTGGGACAGGCGGCAGCCGAATCCCGTCGCACGTATCACGCCACCGCGCAATACACCCCCGTGGTGCATGAATGCCTGCTGGTCGCCCGACGGCAACTTCATCTACGCATGCAGGAGAAACAGTACTGTGGACGAATACAGCCTCCACAAGAGTCTGCGAGAGCCAAGGCGGACATTCAGGTTTCCTAGCGTCAGTGGCCCTGTCAGCGCTGTTCGGGCTATGCCTAATGGGAAGCATCTCGTGTGGTAAGTTAATATAGAGAGAGAAAGAGAGAGAAACCCAGCCCCTCCCCACCCTCCCTCCGTATCGCGTCGTGTCACATGTACACCTCTTTCTGCCCCCCTCAAAAAAGTCATGTGTGCTAACAGAAATGCTCAACCAGCGCCTCATACGACATTCTCCGTCTCTATGACCTCACGCACGAAGACTCTGGTACCAAGACTGGTGCAGCTGCGACTCCCTTTTTCATCGTGCCCGGCCATCGCACAGGCCTCATTTCCCAGCTCTATCTCGACCCCATTTGCAACTTTATGATTTCTACGGGCGGCAACAGGGGTTGGGAGGGTGCGTCGACAGAGGTCATGCTGGGCTATGAGATTGGCATCCCTTCGTAGTAGTAGCCTTGTGTTGCTTGCTCATGACTTAATACCCCCCCTCATGGTTCCCGGCGTTTTGTTTTTCGATCAACCTTGTTCTAAAGTGAAGGAAGGAGGGGAGCGAGGGAGGGTTGTGTATGTAGGTGTGATATGTGTGTGTGGACACGACATTGGCGTCAATGGCTGAGATGGAGCTATTATCATCTTGTTACTTTGCATAGTCGTACATAATCAAGCGTTTTGATGTTTGCGAGAAAAAAAAAGAATGATATCTGAGACGAGACGTTCATCAGAACGTGGCCCGTACGCGCGTACTCACTTTGTCTCTCACAGCTGCTGCCTTCGTATACACTACACTACACTACAACTTTTTTGTTGAGAGACAGACTAGGACTATGATGTTGTATGCACCAGGATCAAAGTAGGTGGTGATGTTCGCTCAACCAACACGGCTCCCCACCACTTTTTCACTCGTTCGCCTCGCTAATACTTTTTCAATGCATACATCTCATTGCGCCATGCGGGGTTTAATCAACCATGAGCACTGTTTTCTTTTTTGTATGCGACAAGATCTTCGATTTGGCCGGTTTCGCTCTTGATGCTCCTGTCGCTCCTGTCCCTCGTTGGCTGAATTTCTACAAAAGAAGAAGAAATTTCTGCGACACAATACGCGCAAGCACGAGGTCCCTCTCGATCGCAACGATGCTATTAAGCTATTTGTTACCTGGTTTTTTTTTTGTTGAACCTGACGATCGCGGTGTTCGGGCACTTGTTCTTTTGCCAACCGCGTGATGGCTTTTGTTGTTCACTGAGAAAAAAAACCCCTCCAACCACCAGGACGGGTCAAGATGGGCTGGCAATGGGGTGCCTGAGCGTGCGCTTGCTTGCGCCAACCGTAGCGCAGGACTCAAGCAATGGGTAGAGTGACGTAGTCGGTGAGAGCCTCATCAGGCCCTGAGAGGGCGTTGGTCAAAGTGTTGGGCAGTAAGTTGGTACTCTACACAGTACGCGCGCGCATCCGCGGACAAATGTGGGGAGGTCATGCAAAGTTCGCCTTGCGACTACTTTTGTCCTTGTGCAGATGCTACAATGCCGACGGGCAGGGACTTGGGAGAATGTAACACGCATCCTACCCCACAGAGCTGCCTCCTGCATAGTCGTTGGGAAAATGTGCCAGAGGATGCAGGAGATGCAGGAGAGGCAAGAGATTGACTGGGTGTATCGGCATGCAAGTTGAATCTGGCATTGACTGCCGACGTTTTGGCGATGATTCCACTACGGCGGTGAGCGCCTCGTATGAAACATGCGACCAATGGCGATTCGTATTCCGACGAAACGCAGGGCAAGATGACATAGAAGAGCCGAATTATACGCCAGGAAAGCGGAGACTAGCCCGAGTCATTCCAAGGAACTTGAAAATGGGTATTACAAACATGTAGCCCCACTGCCATGGTGTTGTTGTCGCGGAGTGGCAATGCTGAGGTTTGGGAGGCCCTGCTCTTCATTGTAGGCTAGCGACGACTAGCTCCCGAACGCGGGGCGTCGATCCTATCGTGAATTAACGCCCAAAGGGCGGTGTAGGGCGGTGAAAGTTATCCCGAGATGCGCTCTTCGCAGCGACGTTGAAGGACAGGAGGGCGATTAGTTTTCGCAATTTCGGGAACTACTGCTGCATTGTGCCTGGCGGTAGGTACTAGTTGTTTTGTCCGTGTAAAAAAGTCCATCGGTCGATTTAGGTAGACTAGAGCACTAGCGCGCAAAAGCAAAGTGTCACGCTTTGTAAAGGTATAGTCTACCCGAAGCAGTAACATTCGACTCTTGAAAGGTAGTGAGCCATGCGACAATGATGGCGGCAGCAAGGTTAAAGTCTGGAGGTGATTAGAGTATAGCAGAGATGTGTGTGTAAACCACGAGCATGCTAATTTAGAAGCGACTAAGATGGCTATTTCCCGATCGGCGTTGCCGGCTTCCCATGTCTTGTGCAAAGTGTTTGCTTTTATTTTTACATGGATCCAATCTCGTCGCAGTAATCAAAGTAGGAGCTGAACTATCCCAAATGCAAGCGTAGCTGTGATTGTTGCGCGTGCCATTTGGTTAGAAAGAGGATAGTGCCCTAGCAATTCTGTCTACCGAGGCGCTCACGACTAGGATTCGTCCATTTTGCAGCGCCATGAGAGCCGGACAGGCCGCTGAGGTGCGGGCGGAGGTGCTCGCCAGAGCTGACAGTGAGATCTTCAGGCCGCCTTTGTTCATCTAAGCGAGTGGGAAAGCTTAAAGTTCACAGTTGCTGGAATAGGCCATGGTGCGCCGTCAGGCGGTAACAGGGTCCAGGTGACGCAGGAATGGGTGAGATGGACTGCGGAGTCAAGTATTGAGCCACAGGTCAGCCTGGCGCGCTTAACGACGATGCACGGCTCAGCATTAAAAAAAGTTCATGGCAACACGGCGATGGTCGGATGGTGTAAGAGTTGCAGTTTTGGCAATGACGTAGTTTTGAGCAGTGTTGCGCACTTGTGAGGTGCCCGGCGGCCCCATGGCGCTGCATGCGGGCAGATGGGTATCAGGTCTGAGGGGAACTAAGAAAAGTAAGGCCGGCACGAGGCCGGGTGGGTTAGAAAATGCAGGAATATAGCAGCGAAACGAGTATCGAGATTGGCGGACTGGGAGTGGAGCCAGGGCTGGAGAGCCGCGATATCCCAGCGTGTCATTATCATATGGTCGTGTATTAGCAAACGACTACTTTGGTGTCCGAAGCGTGTGGCGAACGTCATGGCAGGAAGAGGTCAAGTGCAGGACATGGTGTATTGGAGCCGCATCAGCTGGAGGAGGCACTTGGCTGAAACCAGACGCACAGTGGAGGGAGCAGGTATTGCTAAACCGCGCCGTGACTGGCGGCGTGATGGTGGTGGTGTCGGCTGCAGGCACCGAACGAAGGTTCACGCAGCCAGCCTCGTCATGCTCGTGAGGGAGGGGAGGGGGGGACGCGTAGTGGAAGATGGAATCAGTCGGCGAGGGCAGAGAGGGTGTGTGAGAGAGGACGTGTGGCAGAGGCGAAGCAGGCAAGGTCGAGTGAGGCTGAGTGAGAATGGAATGGTGTTGGATGGCATCGTGGGTGTGCCCCGCTGGTAGTGGTGGTGGTGCTTTTGCTCCACCATGTACTGTGCCGTGTGTTGTAGACGATTCTTCGCATTCGTCTGCTCGCCACCCGCTGCGACGAGTACATACACTACAATACACTACACAGTTGCAGTACGATCGCGCTGGGCAGTCTCCAGTCCTAGCTCGGCCTCTGGCGGGTCGCCGTCGGCATCGCGATCGACAATCCTGCATTAACGGCCGTGTCGTCCGCAACATCCAGTGGCCAATGCACGCGTGCAGGCTGCAGGTCATCCCTCACCGCGATGGTGTGCCACCAACCATCTCATGTGGCCCGTCAGCCATCACTCTGCCCGTCACCCATTCCCCATGGCCTTGGAATCCTTGCCTTTTCTGTCCACGCTGCACCAAGCTTCTCTCCCTCTCCCACGCTAATGCAGCCCGCAGCCATATGCACTGCACCTGCAGGGCTCCTCTTGCGGCACCACATCGCGGCCTGTCAAACATAAGTACTCGGCCTATCCTCGACAGGACGCCATTCACCCATCCGGCACTCTTGCGGAGGAAACACCACGGGCCCATACTAATCACCACTTCTCTGCCTTTGTGTCCTTCCCCCTTCCCCCTTCCCCCCAGGCACCATCTCCATCCCCATTGTCCCCCCAGGCTGCACTGCGACTCCGCCTTCCTGTGACTCTTCCGAGACGTGCGCCCAAGTCACGCATACACCCCTTGCGTGTGCCCCTTCCAGCTGCTCCGACTACAAAAACACCTGCTTGCGCCCCCAGCTGCGAGCCCTCTGCAACGAGTGCTCTTACGCTGTTCCTTTGACCACCACCGGCACAGAGCCGGGAGGACAAGATTCTCTGTCACGTCGCCTTAGTCAAGGTTGAAAAAAGTTCAAAGCCCCCACTACCACTCCGCTTCGCTTGCCTGTTCCGATCCATCAAGGACACCCTATCAGCCATGCCTTCCTATCTCCGCTCCAACCCTCGCGCCTACTCCTTCCCTCCATGGGTCGAGACGTCCGACGACGACGACTCCAGCCATCTGCCTGACATCGACGAGGACCCCTTTGCCCACTTCATCACCCCCATCACCGACGCTGAGGATCCCTACGAGCTGTCTCTGAGCGCCGGCATCGATGCCGACGAGGGGCCATGCACCGCAAAGACTACCAAGTTCAGGTCCAACGTCGCTGGCAGGTGGGCTCGCTATGTCAAGCAGAACCACGCCCCACTCCACAACGTCTATCACGTGCCAACCATCTACGAGGAGGACGAAGAGTCCTTCATGGGGCTTGATGACGAACGCTTAAACGATACACCCCATGTGGTGTCTCAGCTTAGCCCATCAAGGAACAGCATTGCTGAGCCAAGTCGAGGCCGTGCCCAGGACCTTGCTACTCGCAAGCAACAGAATCGTCGCCGCTACTCACGTACACTATCCGGCCATCGCCATTCTTGGCGAGAACCCAGCCCGGATCTCTTCACTGTAGACGAGTCAGAAGAGGACGAGGGCCCTGTGCTCCGTCGCCCAAAAACCAGAAAAGCAAAAGATGGTGCCGAACGCCGGAGGTCATCGACAAGGTCAAAGTCAAGAGCAAGGGCAGACTCAGTGACAGACATGTCGAGGTGAACAAGGGGAAGGCATGGCAGGTACCTGCATCAAGACTGAGTAACAAGAGGCAGTCTGCATACATGACATTTACAGCATCAGCATTGGGGAGCAGCAGGGGGTTATTTTGTTTTTGATTATCTAGCATTGCACGGTGTTGGTAGCTTTTTGTTTCTCAGCGCACACGCGCACAGCATAAGAAGGCGTTTTTGGTATACCACGGGACTGTTTTGTCAGGGGAAGTTGCATTGGGAGGCGTTTACTTGTCAGCATTTACACCTATTCTTTTCCAGATTGCGCAACAGAAGCAGCATCGGATCTAATGAGCAGATAGAGAGAAGCAAAAAATCAACATGGTATCTCAAGCATACTCTGTATTGCAGTCGACAGGCTTCCCCTCTTTCAAGCATTTTCGTGCAATTTCGGTGCACACCACGGGGGCACGTCACCCAGTGAACGTCTGACACCACTTGGGGGTGAAATTCAATCTCCTGATGGCTACACATTTGTGATCAAGGATCCCCCCACCACACCAACCCCCACTAGTGCTGCACGCTAAGCAAGTACAAGGCGCCGTGACCTCACGGCGCAGCCCCCGATACCCTTTTACCCCTCCATCCACCACAAAAATCCCCTTCGTCGCGCGCTTACCGCCCTTATCCCAAACCTCCACTGTCTTGCCAGACCAGCGGCACCCAGCACCGTGCACACCCACAAAGCACCCATCGTGATGCTCCACAGATGCTCCGACCTGTCCGCCGGCCGCGCACCTACTTACGACTCCATTCTGCCGCTGCGCAATGATAGCTGCCGGCATACTGCTATCCACGACGACCCAATCATCGACTGCCGACGCGGAAAATTCGGAGATGGAGTATCGCACCCAGCGCTAGGCGAGCAGATATGAGATCTACCCTGACTGTGTGTCTCTTGACCTGACTTTGAGCTGACCACTTGTCATGTCCATGCATCCGAGACCCTGCGTTTTCTTTCTCAGTACTATCTCTCTCTCTCTCTCTCTCCCCCCCCCTCTCATCCCTTCTTCTGAGACGGGCGATCTTAGTCCGTCCAGGAAGGGCAATGCGTGATCACACGGCCATAATGGGCAGGCCGGCGTCGGCTAAGCTAACTATTCTCTCTAAGCAGAGACGAGGCTGGCGTAGTGGCGGGGTAGTCTACGCCGATGGCGGAATTCATGTATGTACTACGCCGCATGTACGTACCAGTACGCCTCACACAGCAGTGCGCGTCCTGTATGATTTTTTTTTGACAAATGAGGGTTGTTGGAAAAAAGGGCCGAATTGTGGGGGTGGACTACGACCACATTCAATTACATGTTCAAAAGTGGCTGCATGCAGCAAGACAAACTAACATGCACGCCCGGTACGTGGCTCAGGTGCGCAGCGAGAGAAGATGATAGAATCTATGTGTGCATGAGGGTGTATCCTGGTCTACGAACAAAGGATGCGATTGCGCGCAGATGGTCGCGATGACATGCGTAGCGCTGCAACCGCCTACCCTATGGCGAAACGCAGGGAAAAAAAAAAGTTTAGGACACTTTACCCCTCGGGCGTGGGCCTTGCTAGCGATACGCCCGAGGGGAGAGATCTACATCCATGTGGAAAAAAAGTGGTCTTCGAGATGCATTAGGCAAAGCTGCGATGATTCAGCTAGTGCGGGTTAAGAAGGGACTTGCTATTCATAAGTACTCTACATTTAACTAACATTTTCCATGACGAAACGAAGATCAAGCACGCAATCGCATTTGCTTTTTGGATTTGCAACAATGGTGCTAGGTGGAATCAGCATGCGTGCGCATGTAAGGATGCGTGTGCGTTGTCAGTGGTATGGGTTGTCGTGTCCCAGCAGAGCGGATAATATCGTGATTGGTCGGAGCTTTTTCCTGGTTTCCATGACGTCGCTACCCAAAGTAACCCCAGCTTTCTCTCCCTTTCTTCGTAGTATACCCATGCACCAACCTCCCTCCAAACGTCACCACCATTGTTCCTAACGCCATCATGCCACGCTTAGACGACAACACAGAACAAACCCTGCGCGATGCCGAGCAAGGCATCAAGCGCCACACATTCAACGCCTGGGATAGCTTCAGCAACTTTGCGCTTCGCGACAACGTGCTCGAAGTAGCCGTCGGCTTAATGTACAGTGATACCCTTTTTTTTATTGCAAGGATTAGATAAAATTCCTTCCCGCTCAATGGCCCGATCGCTTGCACCTCCCCCAGAGTGTGTGTAACCTGTAAACTAACATCTGGCCACCAAACCCTCGCAGTCTTGCAGCCTCCTTCACCGCCTGCGCAAATGCTCTCGTGTCCGACATCATCCTGCCTATAATCTCACTACTACCCTTTCTCTCCCGTAACCTCGACGCCAAGTTTGCCGTTCTGCAGCACGGCCCAAACTATAATACCTCCATCTCAAACGGCTACAATACGCCGAAGCAGGCAATTGATGACGGTGCTGTGGTGCTTGCATACGGCAATTTCTTCGACAAGATTGTAAGGTTTATTATTGTTGCGCTGGCGCTTTGGGTCATTGCGCTAGCTTATAGCAGGGGCAGCGGCGACAACATTGTCAAGAGGCAGGTCAAGTGCAAGTTTTGTAAGAAATATATTAGTGAGAAGGCTAAGCGGTGCGTAAATTGCACTAGCTGGACGGATGGTAGAGAGGATAGGTAAGAGGTGTAGAATAGGATTTGAATAGGGGGATTAGGAAAAGATTCGTCGCTCAAGTAATGCTATTGGAGAGAAAACAAAGCACTATGAGATTGATGACTGCATGATGGTCCATGAGCGGGAAAATCAGTTGTGTAGACGACTTTCCTTAAAGGTCAAGACACAAGGAAATACCAGGATATAAATACTCTTTTTTACAATATACTCGAACTGCCTCGAGGCAAATCGTATTCTTGGAAACACCTTCCACACATATATCTATCCGCATCTCCTCAACTCTCTAGAAAACTAGCCACAAACTGCGCAACCTCGCTCGGCCTCTCCACCATGGGCAAGTGTCCAGCACCATCTATAACCTTGAGCTCCACGCCCTTCCCCAGCTTCTCCGCCATATTCTCCTTCATAGTCTTGGGCAACACACCATCACCCGCACCCACCAAGAACGCGCCTTTACCCTGATACCCCGCCATCTTCTCCCTAATATCGTACTCATGCAGCGCCTTGACCGAGTCACGGAACCCGGGTAGCGAATTCGTCTTGACCATATCCTTGACCCGCTGGGTCTTCTTCGCCAACTCTGCATCGTCGTAGGATTCCTTGACGAACCACCTGCGCACCGTTACCTCTGCGAGCTCCTCGCCTACAATGGGCTCGCCAGATGCCGTCTTGAGCCCCTCCTTTTCCGCGACTTGAACGCGCTCGTTCCACGCTTTGGCGTTGCTGGCGGGCGCGAAGGCGTTGGTGTCGCAGCCGATGAATGCGGAGATGCGGTCTGGGTAGGAGAGGCCGGCGTTGAGTGCCGTTGCGCCGCCGAGCGAGACGCCGACGATGGAGGCTGTTTTTGCGCGGAGGGCGTCGAGAAGCGTGATTACGTCCTCTGCGAGGGTGTGTACGGTAATCGGGGATATGGAATCTGTGGGTAGGGTGTTGCGTCCGCGGGTGTTGTAGCGCAGGATGCGGTACTTGTTGTTTGTGAGGTTGAGGAACTCGGTGACGAATTCGTCCCAGATGCCGTAGTCGACTAAGATACTGTTTGCGAGGACGAGTAGTGGTGCGTTGGGGTCGCTGGAACCTTCGAGTCGATAGGGGAGTTCGACGCCGTCTTTTGTTGTGACGAAGCTTTCTATCGCTGGTCGTTGCTCAGGCGTGGTATGCGCTGGGTACGTCTTCACTTTGCCCTCTGTTGTCTCTACAGCAAATGTGTCTTTGCTTGCGAGACTCTGCAGATCACGCTGTGCAGCGCCAAACGTGTAGTATAGCTCATATACCCTCCTCTTGCGGTCCTTGACCACGTCCTTGTATATCTTGTCGCACCACTCTGTCGTGATAGCCGCCTTGAACTCCGGTCCTCCAAGTCCGTTCTGCGGCGCATACTCGTGCAGCGCGAGATACTCCTTCTCCGTCTTGTGTCCGCTTTCAAGATCTAGATATGAAGTGACAAATCTCCTTGTACGTCTCCACCCGGGAACCTTTTGCAGAAGCGGTACATGCTCTTCCTCGTACCACTTCTTTAGCTCCTCCTCTTTACCTGCACCATCCTGCAGCACGAAGCTCACAGCAATCATGACGTTCTTTTCGCCTTCATTCTCCACTTTCTGTAGGTCCTTGAAGTCGTTGCCCTTCCACTCCTTAAGCAGGTCATAGGATCTTCTATCCACGAAAATCTGCTTCATAGTATCTCTCTCTCGTTGCGACTGCGCCGGCGCACTACGAAGTTTCAGATACGGTTCCCTTGTCAACCATTCGAGCTCGTCAAAGTCGTAAATAGCCATCCACTCAGGCTTGTCTTTTGAGCCTGGAGAACTCTCAAGATCGGTTGCACGGTAGCGAAAGCCATTGTTGCAGAATGGCAGGCGGAGCCGGTTGGGACCATGTTCGTTTTGGTACCTTGGGGGATTAAAGGTTAGATGGGACCTTGACGAAGTCAAAATTCGACTATCTAAAGGGTCAACTTACCAATCGTGGAATTGTGCTTCTGGCAGGCCCTCTTTGGGCTGCATAGTCACGTACAAAATGCCTGGTGTTGACTTGGACGCCATTCTGTCTTGCTAGTGTGGGGTAACTGTAGTAAGTCTGTAATGTTCTTTTGTCGCTGAACGTGTTTTGAATACAAGCAGAAATAGAGGACAGATTCTAAGAAGGATATTACAAGTTTGGTATTGAATTCAGCGAACGTTAACCTAATCCAAACTACAATGCCGTGGTGCGGACCATGACGAAGTTGGAGGGGGAGACGAGCTTCCCCGATGTCATTTGCCGGTTGCCGCTAGACTGGGGGCAAAACACTTCCAGCGCTGCCCCTCATTCCTCCGTGGCTGAACATAAATCCGCAAGACTTCTCACCAGGTCTCCGGGAACAACTCGGCCGCAGCGGAGAAAGCACACTCGGCATGCATCTTTTCTCTGCTTGGCCACGCGAATCACACGTCAGCTGGAAGCTTATCCCCCTCATCCTTCAAGGCCCCAAGACATTTCCTTGAAGGATGGGAAAAATCAAGAGTAACTCATTCCATGGTGCATAGTGAGATTCGATGTTGTACCAAATCTATGGATTGCTATAGAATTCATGTTTCGTCCTATACAAACTAGTCGTACCATATGGCATTCATACCAAACCCTTTTTCTCCAATCTCCAACCTTGCAACCCTTGCAAGGAACTCATCATGCCATCTGTAAATCTCAATTCCACCCTTCTCGTCGTCGGTAAGTGCGAGCCACTCATCCGACCAAGGGCATGGAGAGACTGCATTAGAATGCCCACCAGAAGTTGGTGTAGGATTAAGACAAATCTGTCGTTCGATAGCGCCTGATGGGGCGACTTTGAAAGCAGCAATGTAACCGGTGAGATCAAACGAGTTGGACCGGGATGTAGCGAAGAGGTAATTGCCGGATTTGTTCAGGAAACAGACGTCTGACCGGTACATTGTGTCTGCGTTGGGGATACCTAAGATGTCTACTTTAGCGGTGAATCTACTAGGCGGTGAGTATAGCGCTTACCAGGAGGTATCAAGGGATACACCTTGTGAGTGTAGATTGGTAGCTTGGTCTTTGGATCAATCACATACTCACACAGCCGGTTTCCTCCTTCCATCAAAGCGTATAGGTAGTTACCCGAGGGATGCATCTCTACCCATCTGGGATGGTCCTTTGGAGCTGGTGCTTCAGTGAAGCCTACTGTTTCTACCCTGCCTTCATCATCTATCTTCTTGTGACACCACACACGGTTCGCCCACATATCTGCGCTGTAGAGGTATGTTTCTGAGGGGTCGAAGACCATGCCATGAATTGCGGTTTTCTCGCAGTATTCGAAATTCTGGATGTTCTCTTTGATGTGTCCGGAGGAGTTGACTGAGAAGATGTTGCCGTAGCCAGCGTAGTCGTAAAACGGGTTGCAGTATACGGCATACGGTGGCTTTTTCGCGGGAAGGAGGAAGATGGCGCGTGTTTTTGTGTCGGCATCGTTTGCTTTGGCTATAATACCTGTCAGCAAATAATTGCGAGGATATCTAGAAGCTACATACGATGTCCGCCAATTGGAAAGCTTCCAGTATGCACAATCTCGCCCGGGCTCTTCACCTCATGTGAACTCCATTTCTTCATCGATGCGCCGTAGATATTCTTCCTTTGATGCTGTGTTGCTGTTGATTAGTCACTGTCGGTGGTATCAAGGCTCGTGGGTTGTGCGCATACGTCAAAGGCCATCCAGCTGATCGGTTCATCCTCTGGGATTTCGGTCTTCTTCACCAACTCCAACTTCAACGTTTCATCGTCGAAGGAGACTGTGATTATCACACCTGGCGGCGTCCACGTGCCGATCATGAGGTGGTGTTTGACCATGTTGCGAGCTTGTTCTTTTCACAGCAGCGGTTTGTGCGTCGGTAGTATGGAGGGTACAAAGGAATTGGGAACCCCCGACGTCTTCAACTGTTCCACTTCCGACTACCCACACAAGGTCGAGCATGGTGTCGCATAGCCAAATGTCCGAGATCAGTACCGAGGGCGGGGCACTGGCGCTGACGCCGCTTAGTATAAGGGATAAATGGCGGGAAAGACTTCTTCCAGAATAGCTTCGCTGTGATTGGCCAGCTGCCAAAGAACCCCATGGGCCAACCCGGCACTGTGGCCCCTCATGCTCCCAGCCCGTCTCAGAGCCGGTGCAGTATGCCGTAGCTACATCTGACAAGGCTTCATCGCCTGATGTGCGGCTAGACACACGGCGGTTTCTAACAGCGCTCACTCGGTTGGCGGATCCGGGAGCTCCAAGATGCTATTTATTAAGATCCCTCATGCCCCAGACGTCAGAAGCAATCCAACACCACTCTACTCTCTAAAACGTGCTTGATAACATATCTTCCCTTGCACATTCATATTTTCTGGCACAACCAAAATGGACCCAAACACACAACAAGCGCCCAACCTTGAAAACAAGGGCGGGCATCGCTTCGACCCTAACTTCACCGATGCTGTCATCAACGCAATGGGACCTGCGGTGCCAGATCGGACACGATTTGTTATGGGCAAGCTGATCAGACATCTCCATGACTTTATTCGTGAAGTCGAGTTGACCAACGACGAGTGGTTTGAGGGTGTACGATTTGTCAACTCCATTGGCAAAACCACCACCAACACCAGGAACGAGGCGCACCGTATCTCTGATGTCCTCGGAGTAGAATCGTAAGAATTACAGTTGGTAGGATAGTTAGACCATGCCGCTAACATAATCGTAGGCTGGTCGATGAGATCGCTCACATGCACATCAACGAGTCTGGCGAGACACCTACTTCCTCAACGATTCTCGGTCCTTTCTGGTCGCCACACTCGCCATTCCGCCCACTTGGCGATACCATTGTCCGAAGCCCCCACCCTGATGGCCAGACCACTCTCATGCACGGCAAGGTCATTGACCTAGACACCAAGAAGGGCATCCCCAACGCCGTCATCGATATCTGGCAAGCGAGTGCCAACGGAAAGTACGACTTCCAGGACCCTGACAACCAGGAGCCAAACAACCTGAGGGGAAAGTTCACCACAAACGAGAACGGCGAGTACTGGTACTACTGCTATAAGCCCACAGCGTACTCTCTGCCTACCGATGGTATGTTGAAACATAAATCCACACCAAAACGTGAACCTAACTAACCCACCATAATAGGCGCTGCTGGCCAGCTGTTCAAGACCCTCGACCGCCACCCTTTCCGCCCCGCTCACATCCATCTCATGGTTTCAGCAGACAACTACAAGCCTTTGATCACTCAACTATACCCCCGTGATGACCCGTACGTCACCAACGACACCGTTTTTGCTGTTAAGGACGATTTGCTTCTCGACTTTGAGCCTAGCAAGGACCCCAAGGCCAAGCTCGACCTGACATACAATGTCACACTTGCACCTTCTGGCAAGAAGTCGACTAGACTTGAGGGTATTCCCAGGCTACCAAATGTGTTTGATGAGCAGAGCAGGCTGTAAGAATCTAGCGTTTGCAGTGTTTGTTATGTAAATGTTGTATTTAGCGGAATTGATGGGAAACACCCTCATGAATGAAATCAAAACGAAAGCATTTTCAAGACCATTCGAAAAAAAGCTCCGGGGACCGGAAAGCAATTCCGTCATATTTCCGCTCTTTACGTGTGCTGGCTATAAATTCAAGTCCAGTCCCCCTTTCATCTGGCAATGCTCCTCCGTCATTTCAACTTTTCACGCCCTCTATCCCGTGTCTGCTTACCCATAACCTACTCACGGGCCCTCACTTCGTCTGCCGTAACCAAAATGCGTGTCCCATATGCCCCCAGCGAGCCTCCAAATGAAGAGGCGCGTCCGATCTACGAGCGCATCGCCGAGCGACGAAAGCCCCGCCCCCTCATTCCTCTTGATCTGGCGCTCCTCCACAACCCCGCCGTGGCAGACGGCTGGAACTCGTTCATCGGCGCCATCCGCACCAAGACCAGTCTTCCGGACACACTCAAGGAGCTTGCAATCAGCCGAGTAGCAGTACACAATCATGCAGTGCACGAATGGGATATCCACGCCGCGCTCGCGCACAAAGCTGGCGTCTCGAAACAGGTGTTGCAAGCCGTCTTTGACCTACCTGTGACCAAGCATGGAATGGTGGCGAGGGAGGTGCCTGTTGGCTTCAGCAGCGAAGAGTATGCAGTCATGGTATACACCGATCAAATGACGGTTGGGGTACAGGTTGAGGATGAGGTTTCTGAAATGGTCAAGCGGGCACTGGGCGACACCATGGTAGTAGAGTTGACGGCCACCATTGCGGCTTACAACGCCGTGAGCAGATTCCTGGTAGCATTAGATGTGGGGGAGTGCAATGGAAGGCCCATGAAGCGTGTGGATGAGTTTTGAAGGCGGTATACAACTGCGATGAAGGACTGTCTATACACTTAAGTGTCGCGAGGTTGTTTTTCTTTTTTCTTCTTGCATAGTAGTATGTATTTAGCCAAGGCGCGGAATGACGCTGCTGTCTCTTCCCCAGTCCAGACGTAACCTCCTCCACATTTTAGGAAGGTGCCTCGGCTCATCAGCCGTCGCAAACCGAAAGGATATTGTTCAAACATCTCACGACTTTCTCGCCGCTTGTGCCGCTCTTCACACACTTTTTTCTCCTTGTTCTTTTTGCACACAGTGACAAACAATGGCGTCTCTAGCTCACCGTCTCCTCACGCGAAGTATCCGCCAGTCGCGCATTCGTCCTACCCTCATCACCACCGCGCAACGCTACGCATCCACAAAGCATCCTCAGAACTTCACACCACCCACACAGTCAGACCTCGATGAGCTCCGCGAGTCGGTTCGCGAGTTCGCCCGCCGTGAGATCCCAGAGGAAGTCGCAGCGCAAACAGACCGCCAAAATGCTTTTCCCAACGATATGTGGCAGAGGTTTGGTGAAGCAGGCTTCCTGGGTATCACAGCCGATGAGGAGTTTGGTGGTCTAGCAATGGGATATCAAGCACACTGTGTCGTCATGGAGGAGCTCTCAAGAGCGAGCGGAAGCATTGGGCTGAGCTATGCCGCCCATAGCCAGCTTTGTGTCAACCAGTTGATGTTGAACGGAAACGCCGAGCAAAAAAAGAAATACCTACCTGGTTTGATCAGCGGCGAGCAGATAGGAGCCTTAGCCATGAGTGAACATGGTGCGGGAAGTGATGTTGTGAGCATGAGGATGGCTGCAAAAGAGGTGGATGGTGGATATTTACTCAACGGCACGAAGATGTGGATTACCAACGTATGTCTTTTTTCTCCTAGGAGTAAAGAGATTGACGCTGACGAATACAGGGACCTGATGCTCATACCATTGTCGTTTATGCTAAAACCATTCCCGATGGGGCTAGCAAAGGCATCACAGCTTTCATTGTCGAAACCTCATCCAAGGGTTTCAGCGTAGCTAACAAACTTGACAAGCTCGGCATGCGCGGTTCCAACACAGGCGAGCTCGTCTTCGAGGATGTCTTCGTCCCTAAGGAGAATGTGCTAGGCGAGGTCAATCGTGGTGTCCGTGTACTAATGGAGGGTTTGGATCTCGAGCGACTTGTTCTTTCGGCTGGTCCCTTGGGTCTCATGCAAGCCTCGCTCGACAACGTTCTGCCATACACACACCAGAGGAAGCAGTTCGGTCAACCTATTGCGCACAACCAACTCATTCAGGGCAAACTGGCAGACATGTACACAAAGTACAGGGCGTCGCAGTCTTTCACATACAACGTCGCGCGCGCTGTCGATGAGTCGCACGCTAGCCCGAATATCAAGACGCAGGATTGCGCAGGCGCGATTCTGTATGCCGCCGAGAGGGCGAGTGAGGTCGCAGCCGATGCCATTCAGCTAATGGGCGGTATGGGATACATGAACGAGGTGCCTGTAGGAAGGATACTGAGGGACGCCAAGCTCTACGAGATTGGAGCTGGAACGAGTGAGGTTAGGAGAATGGTTATTGGAAGGGCATTCAACAAGGAATATAAACAGGAGATATGAGACAATAGCGTTGTTTTGTGTAAAAGAGAAATCTAAAAGGTTCAATACCCACTTTGTCGTCATCTTTATTGTTCTAAAAGCTTTCTTCATTCTAGTACGTACATAACTTCACTCGAAATGTTGCTTTATGCTTTCTTCCCTTCTAGGTACTCCTTGTAGGACAACATATATTTCATCTTCTGGACTCCGTAAGTCAGTCTCTTCGGCTTGCTCATGGCCGATCATATTCCTCCATATCAGACTCCGAACTCATATCCCAGCTTATCCTTGAGGTTCAACAAAGCAGGGTCAGCACATCACATGTAAAAGCTGATATGGAACTATTTGCATCTTGGGCAGAATACGCATTACACCTCTGTATACTGGCCAAGGCGGGCAGTGATGAAAATAAAGGGCTAATGCCCGTCGCCCACCATAGCGCTAGTATCTCTCAACTCGGCAACGATGGCAACGTCACGCGCACGAATGACTACTATATGCATGCTACCAATATCATCCGAACATACCTATTTTGATTTGCGCTACCTGGCATGCCACTGTCGTCCTTCATCCTCCAGTCACGCGCTCTATGCCCCTTGCTATCTGCACGTAGCGGACATGGCGCTTCGCGACATCAAGAGGCGCTGCTGGACCAAGTGTAGATAGGCAGGTCTGCAGAACGTACGCACTAGTAAGCCGAATAATTGCATGGAAAGCTTCTTTCTAGGCGAGACTACAAAGTACCTCTTCCTACTCTTTAACTTATCACACCCGCTTGATACCTAGGATACGCTGACGAATTGGTCTAGACGTCTACGCTAATCTGAAAGAACCGCAATGATCAGCAATCAGTGTGTCATGGCTTCAGCACTCAACTTGAATAAGACGTTGAGCAGCCGGCACCGGTAAAGAGGGCTGTATCGAGTGTTGCCGGAGGACATAGATAGAGCGACGTAATGCAGTATTATTAGTCAATACGAAACCGGGCTCTAAGTGCTCGACGACATAGCGCTTCAGCTACTAGCAAACAGTTTGCCAAGGCCACTAGCAAGGTGATATTGGAAGGAACGCGTTCAGAGTGACCGTCACTTCCCCAGGCGGTGTGACTCCCTCCACTGTTTATGGTTGAGCGCCTACTCACCCCGCTACTCACTTCAACCGCTGCCTCAACCTCAACCCTCAACCGGCACACCATTGCTGCCCATCATGGTTGACAAAGCAAAGACTCCAGATCCATCTTCGCCAGCGACTAGCCGCGATCGTGACAGGAGCCCCGAGCTCGGCAGCCCATCAAAGGCCACCACAGTCTACAACAAGCAGACCGGCCGTCCCATTCGCAGGAGTGCAGGCAAAATCAAGAAACCTGACGGCTATGTGAGCTTTGAAGCTGACGATGCCGATCTTGCTACGACAGAAGAAAGTGAGGATGAAGAGGATGAAGACATGGAACCTCGCGGTCGAGCAAATAAAAGAAAGAAGCGCAAACATGGCCCCTCCCTTCCATCCCCTCGTCTTGAGCCTATCATCTACAACCAAGAGCTTGATGAAATGACCGATATCGAGGAAGGTGTCCGCCGCGACTCGAGGAGAAAGCCTCCGCCGATAACGTTGCAGTTCAACGTCCCACTAGGCTTTCATGGTCCCCTCTTTGTCAAGCTCGACCGCACCTTCATAGACAAGCAAGATGACTTGCACGAGATGAGGCCTGTTAAATCAAAAAAGACCCGCCTAGCTTCTCCGGAGCCGATGAAAACAATCTCGGTGCGCCCCAAGGGATTTACGGACTTGCCCCCAGAACTGCGCAATAACATCTATCGCCGTCTTTTTGCACAGAAAGACCCCGATCAGATGCTCAAGATCCCCCCAGTTAAGGGTAGTGGCCCTACTGGGACCCTTGCAAGGTCGTCCCAGTTCCTCCGGACATGTAAGCTAGTCCACAACGAGGGCTGCTCGATTCTGTACGGAGAAAACACTTTCTCCTTCCATCGCCACTACGCAACTCGTTCTCCGTTTTGGGACACTGTCCCTAAAGAGATTGGTTATCAAGACGTCTTGCATTTTCTGAAGATGATTGGCTCAGAGAACCTGCAGTACCTCCGCGATATAAAGTGGGTATTCGACGACGCCTGCCCTCGTGATACGCCATACCTCACGTCCAACGAGGAGCGTCGATATCTCAACGACGAGTATCTACTCAACTGCTTGCGTATTCTCCGGGATGCCAAGAAACTCCGCAAAATCACTCTGTTCTTCGCTGGGCGCCGACAGCTGCAGTGCTCTGATCACAGGTTTTTGGGCTATCTTGAGCAGATTAAAGCAGACGAGGTGGTGCAGTCAGCGGACAGGTGGTACTCATATCGTGAAAAGGTTCATCCGCTGGCTTGGGCAGAGCTCAAGGCGACTATGACGCGGAAGAAGAAGCTCTATGAGAAGGAGCAGTCTTAGTGACTGAGATGGTATACTGCGGTGAGCGTGAGCCTAGTCTATTGGCTCACCATGTATAAGTATACTTCAGCTGTTCTATCTTATATAGGACGGTAATTCAATACAATAACTATCTGACCTAATTTCCTCTACAGGATCCTTGTGGTTCTCATCGCTTTTCTGTTGCTGGATTCACAGTCATCATAGTATGAGGTAATGCTCAAGATAGTATCCAAGTATAGGCCCTTATCGTTCTTATATCTTCTGTTACTGTATTCACGGATATCATGTTATATCAGGGGTGTAAGCCCAGGCTGCCTTGTCTAGGGTATGGATAGGTATGTATGTTCAGGTTTTAGGTCCTATCTAAAAGCCTCCCATGGGGCATGCGGACGGGGGGAGGCTCAGGACTTACAGTGTTGCAACACCGCCTAGTCTCACCTATTCGTGGAGAGTGTTGTCCGAAGCACGAGTTTCCTGTGATGACCGCTCCGCCGGTTGAGGGGCCGTGACGTTTGGGGTATCGGTGTAAGTGCCTTCGGCGTCCCCTCTGGCACCACCTACCACCTTGTCCGCCCACGTGATATATCTGAGTAGTAAAGGGAAACCTACGTATCTTTTCGTGCGTAGTACTAAGTATGCACAGGTGCAGGCGCAGAGCTAATGTCTCACAATTATATATAAGAGTGAAATGATGATTTGTTCGACCATCTAGAAATTGTAGTAGGTGTAGCTATCGGTCGGTGTACGGGGTCTTCATCAGGTAGTAAATGGCGTCATAGCCATGGGTACTTGCTGACAAGGCGTTTTTCAAGGCATACTTTTTACCTGCTGCACGGCGTATTTACCAATCCATCCCCTCTCCATAGATACTGATACATAAAAACATGATATGATTTACATAAAGACGGTTCACAGCTCCCGATGCATTGATTAGCGCAACCAAATGATATTTGTTCCGCCTTCTAGACTGAACCCTCGTTCGCCGATCGCACTGTGCCTCAACGGCGGATAAATGCAAAAGAAAAATCCTAGCCTCCCCTGTCTGCCTAGCTTGGCGTATGTGTGTATCTGATCCTTTTTCGCCTTATACCCCCACTTTGAAAACGGACAATCGGACATCAGCGCCCAGTCCAGAAATTGGCCCCCTTCCCTCTCCCTTCACGTGGGCAGTAGCGGACGGACGGGTGGCCTAAAACAGGGAAAGAAAGCAACCGAACACACACCAAAGAAAAACGGCTGCCCAATATCAAACGGGAAACCCGGGAACGCTAATTAAATCCGTACCTTGCATAAGCGAGCCTCCCTTCCCTCCTCCCGTCATGGGTTCGGGCGCCTATGTACGTTACTTAAGTATGCAGCAAATTAAGAAAATACGGGTCGTTGTGTGTGCGTGCATGTGCGGCGGTCTTGCATGAACCATGGTTTAAACCATGTGATGTGCCACGCGATACGATTTACCGAACTATCTAGTATATACTTTGAGTTGGAAGGCTGGTGGCATGGGTGTGCTAGGGGGGGGGGGTTTAGGGTGATGGTTCAGCTTAACTTTGTTTAGACTTCGAGGTGTGGGAATAATGAAGGGGGATAAGGGGGAGGCAAAGATCGCCTGGGTTTGATGCGGTGTTGTTTGTCACACTTTTTTCTGGGTCAAGGAGAGGGGCGATCGAGGGATTACTATACTAGGGAGTTCGGGAGGTCTGTTCGCTTCTGCCCTCTGCCTCTGCCGTGTTGTGGGGCTATGAGAGATAATGGTGCTCTGTTCGCGTATATGTTGAAATAAGGTTGGTTGGTTAAAATCTGCATGCATGGTGATAATAACACACCCCGCTTATAGGGTCAGCCAGCCCAGCCACATTGTGCATCTTTGTGTATATTATAGTTTTGTGCTACGGCGTCCTGTTCGGGGGTGCACGTCCGTTGGGCCCCGCTGTGCTAGGTGCGTCTGACCGTATACCCGGGTTCTGGGCATGGGAAAGGGGACGTGGGTCGAGATTGTTGAGGCTGGCTGATATGGATAATATGGTGTGTTATAGTAGAGGCTGGGGAAGGCTTATGGGCGCATTCCGAGCCGTTTTTTCTTCTTGTATTTCAAAATACTTGGCGAATATCATTATTTGCCGATGTGGTAATGTTTACCTCGTGTACAGGTGGACGACGCTGTGGTTGAGGCTATGTAAGTACGTATTATCATATTTGATATAAGGAGCAGATGACGTGGCAGTAGCCAGATATGTACAACTGTTTCTGCTTGCAAGACTATTTTTGTGCTCGTTCCGTCCCGTGACCAAAACGTAGTACGTGTGCATGCTGAAAAACATGTACGTCATACTCGTCTGTATGTGCGGCCCGAGGCAGTGTACATACTTACGTACATGTTCAGGGGAGTGAAGTGAGTTGAGCAGTTTTGAGATGACAATTGCGTGACACATGGTTACTGTCCATGCGCCGAAGGAACCCTTCATTACCGGACTTTGGGAACAGCACCGGATTCGTATCCCACGCGTTTAGCGATACATCCGCGCTTATTTTCGGGCCGTTAACGGCGATGATCGTATGGAAGACCGTGTGGCAGAAAAACGCCGTGGGTTATGTAAGTATGTACGTGCATACTATACATGGCCTGAGCTATGAAGCTTTTCCTTGTCGTTTCTTGAACTCTTCGATCCAACCGGCAGCCTTGTCCTTTGGAACCACGCTGATGGATACTAGGCCATCGATGATCTCTGGCTTCCCGCTTCCTAGGACCTTGCCGAGGCTCATCTTCTTGCCTACCTTGATCAACCCGCCTGCTGCCGTCTCCATGTACGCTTCTACATTTTCCACCGTGTACTCGTGCTTCTGGTCCCATGGTAGGGGAAAGATATAGTCCAAGTGTTGGTCTAGTTTCTCCTTTTCGGAGAATGCTTTAATAAAGTCAGATTGCGAGTCCATAGGGTAGAGCAATATGACCGGGAATGTCAGTGTCGAAGAAGGATCCATGCTGTTCTCCAGCTTGACCGTTGCATCTTCTAGATCTGGCGCCTTGTCCGTGTTTCGGGTAAGGATGTTTCTGCTCTTGAGGGCAAGTTGCAGTGTTGCACGCTCCGACGCAGCTTTTGCCTCGCGCTCTCGACGCGCCTTTTCCACAGATTCTACGTATTTTTTTCGAGTCTCAATCTTGGTTTGGAGAGCTTTGAGGGGTCCATTGGAAGGATCCAGGGCTAGTCCACGATTGCAGGCCCATGCAGCCTCGTCTAGCTTGTTCAGTTCCAAGCCAGCAGTGGCGGATCTGTAGAAAGCCTTGACATTTGATGGGTTGATGTGAAGTGCAGCTACGCAATCTTGGATGCACGAGCGGAAGTTTTCTGCACCATGTCAGTTGACCCGTCATCTAGGCATGCTCCCTTGTGCACGACGTACTCTTTTCCAAGTTGCACAGCGCTCGGTTGACGTAGACAGCCTCTGCAATCGACCTCTCCTTGTTTGCCTCCTTTTGCTCATCTAGCTCGTCATCGATAATGCCCGGCCCTGCAGCGTCTGGGCCTCGACGGGTCTGCGGGCCTTTGAGGGCTGCTATTGCCTTTGTGTAGAATTCCTTTGCATTGGACCACTGCTTTGTCCTTGCGCAGTCGTTGCCCTGCTGGCGGAAGTTTTCTGCAATTTCAGCACGGGTGCCTTCATATGCCAATGCCTTGAGCGCTTCGAGGGCCATGTTGTCGCCACCTTCACCATCTGTTTCATCCAGGCTTGTCATGAAAAGCGGCATGCGGTTCATCTCTTTGAGCAGATCGTCCACAGCCTGCGATTTCACCTCGGCCATGGCGGGTGGCATATCCGCAGACGGCTGCTGCGCTGGCGCGTTCTGCTCATTTTGTGCCATGGCGTCGCTCGTGAACTCTTCCCAGAGGTATCGTTGGACCTGGCTCAAGTTGGGCTCGGCTTGATGACTGTGTGCATGAAATTTTGGCGGACAGTCGCTTAGTCACGTGGGCGTGGTGGGGGCTCAGGGTCCCTGGTTTTGGGCGCATTGTCGCCCCTGCCCAAGTGACCACACCACAATACACACGCATTCACACACACACACACACACACACACACACACTAGCAACGTAACGGCCAGGGGAGAGGGTGCACAACAACCAGAGGGGCGTGCCGGACGCAATGCCAACACGGCACCATTCCTTCCGCCCCTCATGCTCTGCGCGATCCTGTCCGGCGCAGTGTCCAGACGGCGCCAGGTCCGAGGGAATCCTAGCTGATTACGACGCAAAACTCCTATTTGCCTGCTTCGTCCAGGTATATCCGATGGCCCCGAGCAGACGTCGGCACACCTGGTGCACAAGGAGAAGCAGAAACATACCTGACCAGCTCCTTGCATCTCACCATCTCACACGGCTGCCGGGTCCGTTTGGTGACATGTCGTCGCCCTCATCGTTGCGGTCGCACAGTACCCTGCAGCGATTCTGCAGCCGTCCGCACATCGGGTCCACTCGCCGCGCCTGCAGGTGGACCAGGACGACATGCAGACAATCTACGTATTATATTGGTTATCGAATCGGTACAATACTCGACAGGACCCACGACTATTGATCGACGACGACTAGCTTCACTGCGCTGCGCTGCAAGGCTGAATAATCGATTGATTGTTGAGAAGCCTCTAGGCAAAGATGCGCCGGCAACGCGATGCCTTTGCTATGCCGCGGGACCTTGCTTAATCGAAAGGTTTGTCTAGGTCAGGCAACATGACGTGACTGACCCTGTCTTCGAGTCGTGCCAGCACCGAATGCATGACGACCAGGAAGTTGAGTACACACCTACATACTTGGTGTAGTATGCAAAGTTGGCTCCTGGAATAGCTCTTGGCAGGTCCAAGTTGGAGATTTATCTCGTCGATCTAGACACATGCTCGGCTCCTTTACCACCGCCAAGCGCGCACGGCCATCCCTTGATCCCAAAGTAGAAACTCATATCGCAGCTTCACTTCGTGGGGGTGTTCGGATGGATAGGGTGAGGTTGATTGTCCATGCAACTGCCTTCTCCGTCAACGCCATGTATAGCCACTTTTTCAGCTAGTCGGGCAGGCTGCAGTAGAGTCAAGGGAAGAATTGACCGTGGGCGGTATCAGGATTGATGCTCAAATTGCAAGCTGAAACCTAACGGCATCGCGCCGGGTAGTTGGGCGCTATCGCGCCTCTACCTGCCCGGACCGCACAATGAACTCCGACCGACTTTAGCTGAAGATTCCGCCGGACAGGCCAGACTTTTCTTTTTTTACTGACACGCGACTGCCACTCTTGTACACTTTCTCCCCATGACGACTTGTCCCCTTTTAACGTGACTGCCGATACGGCCTTTTGTTTGCAACGAGCTAACAGCCATTCCTAGGCGTCTGCGCTTCTCATTCGCTAGTGCATCTTTGCGCACAATCACACCCGTTGCACAGCTAGATTCGATACGACCAACCATTCTCGGATCATCATTTCCCTTTACATGTAACCTGCTCTGACATTGGCCGTCTTTGCGGGACGCATGTCACGGAACGTTAGACCTAGGAGCGCAGCCAATGACCAGCAGCCAAAAGCCACAGCGCGGGACAACTCGTGCGACAGGGGATCCTTGGTATACGAAGTGCGTGCCTGCAGGGTCACTTGTGCGCGCTAGTGGGAAGCTCTGCATAAGCTCGCGGGCTCCGAGGTCGAAACAAATTTAATAGGCACAGATGGGGTTTGATTGATTCTGCGATCTTCATTTGCTACTTTGGTGGCACTCCCGTCTCCCCCAGAGGACTGTGCGTACTTGTGCCTGCGTCCCTTGCCCCAGCCTGATGCATGATCGACTCGTGCATGCAATGCTCAAGTTGTGCCTCGTCCCTCCCACTTGTCCTTCTCCTCATCCTTCTTACGCGTCGTGTAGCAGATTACACGGCTTCTCTTTGTCGTTCTCCCTGCCGCGCACTACCTGACCGTCTTTCTTCTTTCTTTTCCAGAGCGATCTACTCTACGTCATTTGTCGCACTCATTGTATTGTCCACACTACTCTTTTACTTCAACGTCCCTACAATATAATACGCCACAACGCCGCACACAATTGCAGATTTGCCTGTACTTCTTCCGAATAACTGAGCGTCCGACACCCGACCGTTTTGTTGCGAGTCCAACCGGTACGTAGGCCTCAGTGCTGTTAGCAGCTACTGTGTCGTGGGACTGCAGATCTCTTCCCCGCTTTCAGGTACTCGTTGGTACTTATGGAACAGAGCTAAACCAAGTCACTAAAATCCCGACAACCTGTTCGTCGTGCCTCTCTGTTCGTATTCTAACTTGGACATAGGCATGCGCTGAACCGTTCACACCCGCAGCACCACTTCGTTGTGGTTCTGACCCCTCTCCTAGACAATTGTTTCCTTGCCTCAATATACTCTTCTCAACATGTCTACCGACTACTACTCGGACAGCGAGGCCTTCGCTGCTAGCCGTTCATTACCCACACCCGCTGGAACTCCATACGACTCCTTATCACGAAGGAGCTCCCATCATGAGATACCAGTCAGCGACATTGGCAGTTCGCCGCCTCCTATGCCACCTGACCGAGGGTTCAGCTCAGGGGACGCCGCCAACGACGAGAATATCTCAATTCTCGACCCCCGTCGTTTCACACCAACATTACATGCGAACCTAGTCTCGGAGATTCTTAACCTACGTCGGGAACTTGATTCAAAACACAGATTCATCGATGATCTGGAGGCTAATTTAGATTCAGCCCGATCTGACAATGAAACACTTGCCAAACAGCTGGCGTCCTCCAACAAGGAATGCAAAATAGCGAAGCGCCAGCTTCAGCACTTTGAGAATGAGACTCTTTCCGCCTTGGAGGAGATCGCAGGGGAGAGAGACAAAATGAAGGAAGCCAATGTTGATCTACGACAGAAGCTTGCTGCAGCAGAAAAAAGGACGCGAACTCAAGATGACGATTCCACCAAGGTGCACGACATGTGGGCTCGTGAAAAAGAAGAATGGGCTGGGGAAAAACGAGCATTGGAACGACGGGTTCACGTATCCGAGATTCGGCTGCAGATGCTTCTGGACGAGATTGCCATGCACGAAAAGGCCAAAGAAGAGGCTCACGTCGCAAGCGACACAGAAGATACCACCGGAGATGCAGGTGTACCGGAGAGTGAAGCAGGCAGCGTACGCTCTTCGCCCCAGCGAAGATCGTCTACTCGTATCGGGCGCCACTCCAGGGATCGAAGTAATAGCAGTTGGAAGAGCATTGGAAGGAATTACCGCATGTCTCTGATGAGCGCTGATGGATACACTCGCGGAAACGGTATGAGTCTTGCCGACGAACTCATATTTGACGAGGAGGAGGAGGAACTGGACGAGCTGGAGCTTGATTCTGATGACTTCACCGAGCACGAGATGAGAGCGCGTAGGGTGCGGGAGTCGCGACAGTCGATGTTGCCTGACGAAAAAGCAAAACGCATCCTAGGCTTAAGTAATGAGTCCCAGCATGGCACCCGGGATAGCCCTGCTACATTAGTCGAGGAGCCTGAGCCGCGCAAGGGATCCTACGAAACAGAGCAGTCCTCTGTAACCCTAACGTCCCGCGATACCGTTTTAGTCTTTCCACCGCCACGCCCTCTCTATGTTGACACTGGTGTCCAACCTACTCCTCCACCATCCCCGACCAAGCCTGTGATGATGGAAGCGGGGTCGCAAACCACCGAGCCTTCTCCTCAGGTAAAACTGAATGACTGCGCATCTACTGCAGCAGAAATAGAAGCTAACCAGAGTCGAAAGCGGGTTTCTGTACCCGTGAGCGCCAGCTCAACACCCCATGTCACCTCTGAAACATGCATCATGAAATCGAGCTCCGTACAGACCGTTGAGCCTTTAAGCCCGCCGCCTACCCCCAAGATCCCTGTGCCCTCAGAACAGGCACTCCTCCCACAAGCCATTCAAGTTGAGCTAGTCTCCACAGCCACACAAACAGATGCCTTGGTCCAACCAGATGTTGCGCCTGAGAGACCCAAGAGAGCTAATCCGCCAGCTCCTATTCCGATCCCGTCGATTGCCATCCACGCCCCGACGTCAGCGCCTTCATCACCTAAAGCTCCTATTCTTCCTCCGGGCACCAAGACTGTATCGACACAGACAAGCGGAGATCTTGTAGCCCCAATGCAGTCAACGGCAATGCAGACCGAACCCATCAGGATTGACCAAAGACCGGTCAAGCTCCCGCCGCATCTCCTTCCGTCTGCTATTTCTTCCAAGCCCGGAACACCCGAGACGAACAATGACGGAGTCGCCAGAAAAGATTTCCAACATTTGGCCACGGATGCCCCTGGACAGCCTACATCGAAGATAGCTGCTCGCCAAAATCTCACTGCTCGCCTCGAAGAGGCTGCGGAGAGGGAAGTGGAGAATCGTTATCCTGGAAACAATGATAACGGGCCATTGTCTAGTCAGCTTCACTCAGACGCACTTAGTCGACCATTTCGCACAAGCAGTTTGTTCGCTGGATTCGATGGTCCGTCGTCTGAGGAAGAGGATGCAGAAGTTGAACTCAGCGATGATGACTTCAGGGGCCTTCAATACTCTACGGCAATGCTATCGTCACGGAATGCGAAGAGTGGACGGCCAGTAAACCCTCCGACACCTGTGCCAGAAGACAATGAAACCTCGCCAAATCCCAGGCCATCAGTGGACTCGGTTAACAGCGTAAATGTGCCTTCAATGCGTAGTTCCATGGAGAAACCGGTCAAGATCGGCAAGGCTCAACGTACAGTGATTAGCCGCCAGCCCAGCATCCGGCGATCTGCAATGATACAGAGCAGCTCTGCAGTTCACGCCCGGACTCGCAGTGGAAGTGTTGGCAGTATTACATCAAACAATTACTTGCCCAAGCCACCATTCCCAGTTCCTACCCGGTCCAGT